CGCGCGTGGGAGACATGGACCGTGTTCCTGCTTCAGCCCAGTCCTCATGCGTGGGGAGTGAGCCAGCAAATGGCAGCTCTCCGTTTCTGCCTCTCAAATAAATACACACAAGGCAATGTGTGTATTCATTTTTTCTTCTTTTAATAGCCTTACTATATACATGGTAGATTTTGGTTCAAATGCTTTCTAGAAGCAGTATCTGGCACATAACAAATAAAAGATTGTCTGTGATAGATGGTTGTTTCTAATGTTGGAAACCAATTTTAAAAAATCAACCACAAGCAAGCTTTTAAAAGTCACACAAAATTTGTTTTATGAATCTGAGAGCTATATGAATGGAGGCTGAGCTCAGCAAACAGCAGCCTGAAGGCCAGGGGAGAGAGAGAATGCCTGCCAGCTGTGAGGGGCAGCCACCCACCCACTGCGGGCAAGTCAGGGTTCTGTGAGGACACGAGAACATACTGCCCTTGACCGTGACAGGGGTGCAGGGAGGGGGATGAGTAGGGATTTACCTCCCCTCTTTCTCATGTTTCTCCACTTTACAGTTATACATTGGGAGCCCAGGATGTCACAGGCAGCTCCTGGGAAAAACAATGAACAAAACAGGTAAACCTCCTTACAGCCTAGAAGGGGAGGAGGGACAGCAAAACCAACCAAGAAGCTGCAGAGGCTGTAAGGAGCATTGAAGAAGGCTGAGCAGGTGCCTGGAAACTGAAAACTAGACGGGGTGAGAGGCCAGCCAGGAAGATCTGGGTGCAAATCAGAGTGAGGATCCTCACCCAGCAACAGTGGGGAAAGCCGGGAAAGGGAGCCATGCAGAACCAGCACAGCATGACCCTGGAGATCAGAAGGCAGCGCTATCTACAACAAAGGCCAAGGGATTAGCTGGAGTCAATGAGCATGGCCTCTTTCTAGAAGAGAGAGCAGAGAAGTTACTAAGCAGAAGGGGAAGTTCGGGCCCAGCGGTGTGGCCTAGTGGCTAAAGTCCTCACCTTGAACACGCTGGGATCCCATATTGGCACCGGTTCTAATCCCGGCAGCTCTACTTCCCATCTAGCTCCCTGCATGTGGCCTGGGAGAGCAATCGAGGACGGCCCAATGCTTTGGGATTCTGCACCCATGTGGGAGACCTGGAGGAGGTTCCGGGCTCCTGGCTCCGGATCCGCACAGCATCGGTCATTGCAGTCACTTGGGGAGTGAAACATCGGACGGAAGATCATCCTCTCTATCTCTCCATCTCTCTGTATATCTGACTTTGTAGTAAAAATAAATAAATCTTTAAAAAAAAAAAAGAAGAAGAAGAAGTCCTTGAGGAAGGCAGTGGTAGAGGATAGTAAAGATGGATGCTCAGGTATAAACAACGTGGTATCTGGGCCAGTGCTGGCACTGGGTGCGGTGTCTGAGGTGTCACCTGCAGCACCACCATCCCACCTGGGTGCCAGTGTGATTCCAGGCTGCTCCACTTCTGATCCAGCTCCCTGTGAATGAGCCTGGGAAAGTGTGCAGGATGAACCCAGCAAATGGAAGACCTCCCGCTCTAACTCCCCTTTTTCAAATAAAGCTTTTTAAAAATTAAGAAAAATAAAATAAACAAATAGATGTATTTAAAATTTGGTGGGTAGGTGTTAGCCTAGTGGGTAAGTCACAGGTTGGGATACCCAAATCCCCAGCAGCATGCTGGGTTCTAGACCCAACTTCTTGTTGAGGCGGCAGATGGTGGCCCAGGGAGCGGGGTCCCTGCCACCCCTGTGGGAAGCACAGACTGGCATCATGGCCCAGCTCAGCCTGTAACCACTGCCAGCACTTGGGAAATGAACCAGCAGATAAGATATCTATTTATCTCTCAAGTAAATAGAGATTTAAAAATCTAAAAATCATTCACGACCTGTGACTTAAAACAGGTGCCAAAACAATCCTAAAATCATCACTGGCCACTAGACAGTAAGTAGCACGCAGCAGCACAGGGAGGAGCCAGGCTTTCCTGAAAACCCGCAGAGCCCGCCAGCAGTTCCCTAAGCCGCCCGGTGGCCACCTCACCACGCCCACACAATGGGGCACTCGCGGGCAGCTGTGGGCAGCTGTGCCCTAACTGCTGCTAACCACAGGGAAGGGAGCACACAGCAGTCACCACCCTGGCACCACAGGCACCCTGCTCAGGCTTTTCCTAGCATGGGCCCATGTGTTTAACTTCTTTTCTATCCTCACACATTGTACACGAAGTCCTAGAAACTCGCATACTTATTCACACCCTTTAATGGAGTCCAGAAATACTTCAGCAGGTGTTCAAACAAAGTCATCTTTCAAAAAAACTCCAGGAAGCAGCCCTGGTGGAATTTCAGAGCCTGTGATCCGGTCCGCTCGTGGGCCCCAAGGCTCACCGCTCGCTGGGCTCAGCAGCCGGGGGAGAGGCTCGCGGACCAGAAGGAAGGGGCCATTGTTGCCCTCACTTTGCACCCAAGTCAGGAGCAGAGCCAGGAAACGGGCAGCAAAGCTTTGGCCTTGAAGTGACTCCGCTGGCAGACCTGAGCTGTCTATTCTCTGCCCAAACTCAAAATGGAAAAAAGGAAAGAGAGCAAAGGAAAAACGGTCTGTTTAGAATTAGGACTTGATTGGCTAAACTGTGTGAGCGTACCCAGCTGAGCAGGCCCGACCTGACCAAACGTGACATCACAGCTCTCAAGGTCAGCTTGTTTTTTAGTGCATTTATCTACCAGAAAAGCAACGAAAGAGCGAGAACAAGAGAGGGGAGGAGAGAGCTCTCCTATGTTCCAATATACACTCTCAACAGCCAAAGCCCAGAACTGTCTCCTCATCTCCCCACGGGTGGAGGGGTCCAAGCCCCGGGGCCATCTCCCACTGCCCAGGACTCATCCCAGGAGGCTGAATGGGAAGCAGTAGCCAGGACTTACACAGGCACTCCAGTACAGCTGCAGACCACCTAGGCAGTGCCACAACACCAGCCCCCAGATCTTTACACTAAGAATGAAAGACTCAAATAATCCTTATTTGGGGAATGAAATTTTACAACAGCCATTCTGTATTTCTTCCAATATTAATGTAATTATCAAACCCACCAGTTTTTATTGAAGCCACATTTGATTGGATCAAGATTTAAAGGCAACATGTAATAAATAAAAATAACAAAAAAAAACAAGGCCCAGCGCGATAGTGTAGTGATTAAAGTCCTCGCCTTGCACACGCCAGGATCCCATATGGCCACTGGTTCTAATCCCCCCAGCTCCACTTCCCATCCAGTTCCCTGCTTGTGACCTGGGAAAGCAGAGAAGGACAGCCCAAAGCCTTGGGACCCTGCACCCATGTGGGAGACCTGGGAGAGCTCCTGGCTCCCAGCTTTGGATCAGCGCAGTACCGGCCATTGCGGTCACTTGGGGAGTGAACCATCGGTCGAAAGATCTTCCTCTCTGTCTCCTCCTCTCTGTATATCCGCTTTTCCAATAAAAATAAATAAATCTTAAAAAAAAAAAAAGTATGAAAGCTTTTCTTAGAAAATCCTGCCCCAAAGAATTTTTTCTGTTGTTCTAAGTTAGAAGACCGTATCCATGAGCAGGGTTTGAATGGAGGCAAAGGGCCCAGGCAGGGCAGGCGGGGCAGGCGGGGCAGGCGGGGCAGGCGGGGCGGACGGGCCTCTCTCAGGGTCCTGCCCCTACGCAGCAAGTACGGAACGGAGCCCGCTACCTGTGCTCTGCGGCCTGCTTAACAATGCCAGCAGACATCCCACTGCAAACGCTCCAGTCCCGACTCCCTGCCTCCCCACCCAAGCAGCGCACTGACTCAGGGCACACTGCCTCCCTCCTTCCAGATCACAAGCGAAGATGTTGTCATGACTAAGCCACGGGGACTAAATGCCAGCCTTTAACTAAAATACCCACCATGATATCACTTCTCTGTCGTTCGAACCCCACCAGCACGCTCTCACTGGCATGGGCACAAAGCAGCATGCTCAGTGCCGGCCCAACAGCTGCCTGGAGCCGAGAGGGACCCGAGCGAAGAATCTGTTGACGATGTGGGCTGCTTGGAGATTCCACACAGACGGCAGCCCGAGCCTCCGCCCCGCTCGGAATCGACTTAACACCTCTGCGTGCCAGGCCAAGCACCAAGCCGAGGCCTGCACGCTGGCAAAGGGGCCTTCCCACGCCTGGGAGCCACCAGCCCCCGGCCGCAAAAGAGGAATACAAATACCACAAGGGAATCCACCTCGGCAAGAATGGAATCCAGGAGCCAGGAGGGAAAAAATAAATAAATAAACAGAAGCGATCTGGGACCAGGGTCGGGAATGCTGTGTCGCCTGAACAATGACGAGCCAGCTCCGGCAGCCTCCCAACCCCCCACACTTGGCTGCCGGCGCGGCCAGTCACCCTGAAAGCTGCCAGGGCTGTCACTCGGACTGGGCTCCGAAAGGATTTGTCAGATCATCCTCCCAATATGGCTGCCCGGGTAATCCTGCTGTGCCGACCGCCTGACCACAGCAGCCCGCCTCGAGCTGGCCAGCCTCCGACAAGCCCCCTCCCTGCCCATCGCGCCCCCTCGGCCCTGGCACCCTCGGCTGCCCCCGACCCCCGCCGCGCCTTCTCGGTGCCCAACCACGTCCCTCTCAGATCGTCATCGTCTGGCACAGCAGCACACAGCCAGCCCGAGCCCCGATGCCAACCACAATAGGGATGAAGGGGAGACAAGAAAGGACGGCTCCCCGACATAACAAGGCCTGGGGATGCGCGCACAGAGCCGGGCGACCCCCGGGCACGGCCGGCGCTGGCAGCCCGGGGCCGGGGCACCCCGAAGGCCGCTGGACGCCAGCCGGAGACTCGCTGCTGGCCCCGGGAGGGCATTCCTTTCTCCCCTCCCTCGTCGGTGCCTGGCAGCCTCGCCCACCCGCTGCCCCGGCGCCCTGGACCCCCGCCCGGACCCCCCTCCCACGGGAGCGGCCCCCGCCCCGCGTCCCGCAGTCGCGGTGCCAACCGCCGCCAGCGCCGGCGTCTCACCTCAGCCGCGCTGCGGGCCGACGGGCAAGCAGGCCGGGTCAGCAGGCGCCGCGGCGCGCGGGGGCGCGGAGGACCTGGCAGCGACGCACCGGAGCGCGAGCAGCGGCTGCCGCGAGCCGCAGGGCGCCGCTCCGCAGCCCCATCACGCAACCACCCGGCCCCGCATGGAGGGCCGACAGACGACGGCGCCAGGCAGAAGGCAGCGCGGGAAGTCGGGGGCGCGGCGGCCGGGTGGCTACCGCAGAGGCGCCGGCGGCCGGGTCGGGCGCGAGCGGGCACCTCCCAGGACCGCCACCCTCTGAGCACCCCGCGTCGCTCTCCGCGAAACTCCTCCCGCAGTCGCCGGCGCCGGACACCGCCCCGAGCGGGACCGCGGCGCGTCAGCGGGGCCCACCCCAGCGCCCGCGACTGACACGGCAGGCCGCCAATCGGAACGCAGAGCTTGGGCCGGCCGGCCAATCGCAGGGGGAGCTGAGGAGCCGAGGCGGGGAGCGATGCGCCAAGATCTGTGGAAACCCGCGAGCGCCCCCTGGTGAGGGGGCCGGGTGCGGGGTGGGCAAGGCGACGCCCACAGCTCCCTCCGGGGTGACCCCCAAAGGGCGTCGCGCCTCGCCAGGCCGGTAATCCGCCTTGGACAGGGGACAAAAGCCTGGCTGAGGGGCGGGGTGGCGGCCGCGGGCCGAGGCCCAGCCGTTGGCGGCGGGAGGCGGCCGAGCGCGGAGTCATTGTCCGCCGGGACCACGCACAGCTCGGGCGTTGAAGGCGCCGAGCGCGGCGAAACACGCAGAAAGCTTCCGGGCTTATTCTGGTCGAACCCGAGCGCAACACCTCCCACGCGCCACCTTGGGGGGGAAAAAGGCGGAATGAGTCATGGAAAAGCGAGCGCCGGGGTCGGGCGCGCTGAGAGGAACGCCGCGTGCTCCCCGCCCCCGGCTGAGGAGAGCGGCGCCCCTCCGGGGGACCCCCTGAAAAGCGACGTGCGGGATCAGACCTGATGATGTGTCCATTCCAAGAAGAAAAAAAAAAATGTGCATGCTCGTTAAAATTGAGCCTCCCCCTCAAGATGTGTCGTCAAATACACGTCAGAGCTCAGAGGCCGCATCCCAGATAACATAATTTTTATGCCGGCCTCATGCTGAGGTGTAATGTTTTTGGCTTACCGGACTACGTAAAACAGGTGACTCAGGGTCCGAAGGAAAACGGGAACTCTCCACAATGGCCGATGGGGAAGTCAGGTCAGTCCCTAGCCAAGTGGGGCGACCCGTGAGTCGGCCATGTAACTACCCGAGGCTGCGCAGCCTGAATGACTGGCAGAAATTAAAGTAAAATCAGATTTCCACCCTGAATTCAATACAGAGTAGAATAGACCAATAATCTAATGCATGCTAATAAATCAAAATCATGATTTTGTTCAAAATCTCCATCACTAAGTGCCTGACACTATCCAATCAGCATCCATTGAGCATCTCTTGCTTGATGTCGATTTTTTTTTTAATTTTTTGAGAAAGATCTCAACAGAAGGGCTGGGCCAGACAGAAGCTGGGGAGCCAGAAAGTCAATTTTAAAATAATAATAATAAAAGGTTGCGTGCAGTGAGCGTTGGGCCTGGTAGTTAAAACACCCACATCCTGGTACCTGGGCTCATCAGCGGCTCTGGCTGTTGACTCACGTCAGCCCACATCCCAGGGGGCGGAGGTGACAGCTCAAGTGATGGGGCCCCAGTCACCCCGGGGAAATTGCGTTTCCCATGCCGGCTTCCAGCCCTGCCTGCTGTGGGAATTTGGGGAAGTGGAGGTGCGCTCTCCTGTACCTCTGAAATAATTGTCTAAAGAAATAGGTGAACGCTGCCTGAAGAAATCGAGCGCACAGGAAGAAAAATAATATTTTTTTAAAACACAAGCAAAAATGCTAACCCTGAGCTTATAACCCAGTTCGAAGCTTTCTAAGGTTGAAGACAAAAGGATGGGTTAATAAACAATTACCGTGGCAGTAGACACCATTAGCCTAGGTCGGTGCTAGGATAAGCACCATGGAGAGTTACAAAAACCAAACAGAAAGCTGGGTGGGGTGGGCGGCCGGCGAGTTGCATCCTGCTCGAGAGAGATAACTGTCTGAGATTAGAGCGCCTGGTTCAAGTCCCAGCCCAGCTTCCAATCCCAGTGTCTTACTATTAACCATGCTGGGAGGGATGGCTCAGGTAGTTGAGTTCCCACCCACTGCCTGGGAGACCTGGATGGGGTCCCCTCTCCTGGCAGGAGTGAGGGGCCGGGAGCACCCCACTGAGTGGTTGCTGATACTCTTGGAGCTCTCAATAGAGCCCAGTGTAAAAGCATCTCAAACATGGAGGGGCCCTGGGGGGAGACAGCCGAGGCTCAGAGGACGCCCACCCTGAGGGAGCCTCGAGTCCCTGGGCAGAGCCATTCGGCTCCTCGGACTGTACACCCAAGCACCTGTTGGCAGTGGAGCGTAAACGAGCAGAACTTTGAACTTCTCTGTGGTAGGTTACCGCCATCACTGGGAGGCAAGAAGGCCATGCCAGCAGATCTGCTAATGTGATGCTTGTAGCACAGTTTCTGGACAGAAAAATCCCAAGTGTTCATGTTCACTAGAAAGAGCCAACTAGAAAGTATGACTTGAAAGCGATCCTGCTAAAAATACCAATGGCAACTATTAAATATTTAAGGATAAGTCAGCAAGACCCACATGGAAAAAAACTATGTAACTATATTGCAGTACATTAAAAGAAAAAGATCCAATAAATGAAACCATGTTCTTTATTTTTGGAAAGAAGAAAAAAAGATGTTGACTTTATCCAAGTTCACATATAAAGTAACATAATTCTAATCAAGATTGCAACAGAATTTTTGTGAAATTTGATAAGGTGATGGTACAGCTTATGTGTGTATATATACATATATGTATAGCTATTCCATATTCGTTTTCTGTGTAATGATACAATAAAGTTCCCATAAAAATTCTTGAAGAATGAGATGTAAGGAGCTATCTTATTGGTAAGCTACTCTGTAATGTTGCACTGATTAAACTTTGCAGTATAAAATGAGAACGCACACCCTGGGTACGCGGACGTGGGGAAAGTCATGGGCGGCTTCCCCCTTTGTCTCTCCCCTTCCCCCAGGAACGACGAGAAGAAACAGCAAATTTGGAAACAATGAATTCACCCAATTTTCCCTAAATCTCAATCCTTCCCACACTAATCAACCCTGTAATCATTATTAAAAAATAAAATTTAAATTTTAGAAAAAGAAATGTATGGCAAAAAATGAGAATATACAAATACAGAAATGGGACGGAATAGAGTCCATTGACAGACAGTATGGGTGTGGGAACATAGCACATGACAGACCCAGGATTGAACATCAGCGGGGGAAATGAAAGTATCGCTTATACAGACATATACACGTGCACACACAGATCACCGCCCACAAACCATACAAAAATTAATTCAGAAGGATTTCAAATTATACTGGAGAAATAAAGCATTAAAATCTTGCTAGAGAACATATACTATCTTTATGGTCTTGAGATCTATACTTTCCATTAAAAAGATTTATTTCATTTACTTGAAAGGCAAAGGGAGAGAGAGAGAGAGAGAGAGAGAGAGAGACCTCTTCCCTCTGCTGACTCACCCCTCTAAACGGATACAGCAGCCAGAGCCGGGCCAGGTCAAAGCTAGGAGCCTGCAATTCCATCTGGCAGGGACCCAAGTTCCTGAGCCTCCAACCAGCTCTGCTACATGGGACGCCGACGTTGGAGGCAGTGGCTTTTCCTGATGGGACACAATGCTGCCTTGAGATAAAAAAAAAAAAAAAAAAAAAAAGATTTATCGGGCCAAGCGCAGTAGCCTAGTGGCTAAAGTCCTCACCTTGAACGCACCAGGATCCTATATGGGTGCCGGTTCTACTCCTAGTTGCTATGCTTCCCATCCAGCTCCCTGATTGTGGGCTGGGAAAGCAGTCGAAGACGACCCAAAGCCTTGGGACCCTGCACTTGCATGGAGACCCGGAAGAAGCCCTGGCTCCTGGCTTTGGATCGGCTCAGCTCCAGCCGTTGCGGCCACTTGGGGAGTGAGCCATCAGACAGAAGATCTTCCTCTGTGTCTCTCCTCCTCTCTGTATACCTGACTTATCCACAAATCTTAAAAATATATATATATTTTTGAAAGGCAGATCAAATTTATGGAGACAAAGAAAAATTTCCATATACTGATTCACTCCCCAAATGACCTCTACAGCTGGAGCCAAGCCAATCTGATCTGAAGCCAGGAGGCTGGAGTTTCTTCTAGGTCTCCCATGTGGGTGCAGGGTCTTAAGGCTTTGAGCTGTCCTTGACTGCTTTCCCAGGCCACAAGCAGGGAGCTGGAAGGGAAGTGGAGCAGCCGGACACCAACCGGCACCCGCATTGGATCCTGGCAGTGCTTGCAAGGTGAGGATTTAGCCATCCAGTCATTGTGCTGAGCCCAAGATAAATATTTCTTAAAGAAGAGACAAATGGGCCTGGCACGATGGTATAGTGGTTAAAGTCCTTGCCTTGAATACACGGGGATCCCATAAGGGGGCCAGTTCTAATCCCGGCAGCTCCACTTCCATTGTGCAGCACTGGCCGTTGCGCTCACTTGGGGAGTGAACCATCAGATGGAAGATCTTCCTCTCTGTCTCTCCTCTCTGTACATCTCCCTTTCCAATAAAAATAAATATTTAAAAAGAGACAAAAAGCACTAACCAGAAAGAATGATGAATTGATTATACTCATAATAAAAAAAAATCCCCTTCTATACAAATAAATCAGAAACAGAGCAAATACAGCACAAACGGAATAAACATATTTGCAAGACACTTAACCCGTGCAGTATTCAACATATATTCACTATGTAAAGATATTCAGGTCATGGAACCAGCATGAAAAAATAGAAACAATCTAAGTGGAAAGGAGATGAGGAAGCAGCACAGAGCTCTGCAGAGACACCGACTCACTGGCCCAGCCTCCAGGCTGCTTCACGCCAAAGCCCAGCAGGGCAGCAGTGCAAGGCAACGGACGGGACAGACCCTTCTGCGCATGTGCCTTACACGCGGAAGTGAGGAAAGAGGTCCCAGAACCGTCTTCCCGGAAGGGAGACTGGCAAAGGCCCTCCACGAGACACGGCCGCATCACTGCAGTGAGCGAGAACTATGTTTACCAGCACGTTGGCAGCAGCCAGGACCCAGAAAGTGGCAACCACAGCCAGTGTTCCAGACAGCAGGGGTTAATAAGGGCACTGGCTGTTGTCTGGGTGTTGCAGCCCCCCAGGAGGAAGAGCAGAGGGGGAGGGCTGATGACCACGGGAGGTGC